GCTGTGCAGCTCTAAATGAGCAACAGTGATTGAACCCCAGCAGGGGGCAGCGCTGCACCTTAATCCCTCTGGGCAGTGTGCGATAGAGGTGGTGTGATATGTCTTCAGGTGGGTGAGGGCCAATGCTCCCTCTCAGCTGTGCGCATGTGCGGCGCACACAGGTTAGGAAATCCGCGCACATAGGAAACTGAACTGTGCACAAAAAAATAAATTCCCCTCAAAATATGATCATAATAAAACAAACACGGTTGTCAACTGAAAAATGCTAAATTGACCATGAGACAAGAGAGGCCCAACTTGGCTGTGTGCATTATTATTGCTTCTCGATCATCGATATCTCTGGTCTCGTACCTCCCTGCTCCTGCTCGCTCCACACTCAGTCTCTATGACTGGGCTCGCTGAGTCGCTGTCCCGGTCTTCTGGACCTCTATGCTTCTCTGAGAACGACTATATTAACAAAAAGTAATTTCAGGTTTACAATTTTACATACAATTTACAATTTAGTGCGCACAAGTTTTTGTCATGGGGGGGAAAAACTTGAAATTTGTGTGCACGTGGGCCATTAGAAATTAGAGGGAACATTGATGAGGAGGTAAAATGTTCAGTAAACTCTCTGGGGAGCGGGGATGGGGTCTGGAGGCCCCGGGCTGTCCCCCCTCTGCCTGGACTAACGCCGTGCCGGGCACTCGCAGGTGGTGGACGCGCGTGGGGGTCCCAGCGTGAAGACGGCAGCGAGGCCGAGGAAGATGAAGCTGCTGTCCGGCAGAGTCCGGCCCGGCCCAGGCCCGGTCAGCAGGCTCCAGGGGCGGCTGAAAAGACACCGTAAGACACCGCGCCGGGAGCCGCATGCTGGTGCCCACGAGGCCTCCTCTCCCATGCCATACCTCACACGCCCTGTCTCCTGTCTCCTGTCTCCTGTCTCCTGTCTCCTGTCTCCTGTCTCCTGTCTCCTGTCTCCTGTCTCCTGTCTCCTGTCTCCTGTCTCCTGTCTCCTGCAGACTCCGACGCGCACAGCTCCGCCTCCAGCGCCTCGCCCGCCCAGTCTCCCAGCTACAGCCACCCGTCCGACGAGGGCTCGGACTCGGAGCTGCCCGCGGGCGCCGGCCGCGCCCCCGTCTTCTCCTTCCTCGACCTGAC